CATGAATCAATCTCAGCAACACTATATCTTCAAGGAATGTTATGAAAGACCGTTTGACCGCTCTAATCCGATACTTATTGTTGGACTTGAAAGGCCATGATTTAAAGAACATCATCGGCTTCATCTTAGTTTGCATCTGTCTATCGTAGAAGAGTAAGCAATCACCCTGGAAACATTGTTTTTTTGTCACTAGCAGTTGGTAATGTATAAATCAACTCAACCATCACATCCTCATGTAAAGTGTGGAATTGTTGTTCTGGAGGAGCAAAAACCGAATAGATATGTGACGGAAAATGATCCAATGAGGCATTGGGACAAGTCCATGTTGCCATTCGGCGATCCTCGGAACTTGAAGCCTCCCTTTGCTGAGGTTGTATAACAAGATCTGTGGTCAAGATTGACACTATATCCTCCTGTGAACCATGGTCTAGAATCAAATCAGATAACTCTAAAGACTTGGTCTGCATTACGTCATCCTTTATCTTTCCATAGTGTGAATGCTTCTCCTCATCCTCTGTTACAGTTCTTCTCTTTGTAGTCCTGAGCCAAATCTTCATTTTCTCATTTTGTTGCAAGAAAAAGAGTAGCATCCGTCGACTTTTCTGCAGTTTCTTGTGTCTCAACAATGCCACACAGAAAAATAATTTGTCCTGCACAAACCACATTCTTCTTTCTTGTGTCTCAACCCCAAACCAACAACGTCGTCAACATGTAAAACATGTATTCCTTCCCGTTTTTGAGCTATCCAAACACCCACACCAAGAACAGATCGGGACTCATCGAAGATAAACCCACTAACTTCTGACAACAAGCTATTGTTCTTCACGAACACATATATGAATTCCACAAGAACGTCTCGTGATTCATTGGAAACTCGACAGCTAGGTTCCAAGTCAGATAAACAAACCTTATGTGGTGATGATTCTATCTGAGTCGAGACATGAGACATCGATCCCATCTCATTACTTGCTTCTCTTTCTTGAATCGATGATTCGGTCCCCGAGTTTGAGTCTTTCTCTTCAATAGTATTGATAAACTTCTAAATGGGTGAAGAAGAGAAGATTGATGAGAGGGAGTTAGTCGATTGGTGAGTTGGCATGAGGAGATTGGTTAAGTTTTGAGCTGTTACGTGGTTGTTTGGTCAAAGGAGAAGTCAGCAGAAGTAGTTAGAGTGTGAGAAGGGTTGTAAAGAGAAAGCCTCTAGTATATAAGGAGGGTCTCTTAGATTGTTTTCATTATCGAGAAATTGGCATCTCAGCCTTACGTTTATACTTCATTCACTGGTCAATAGAGCTTTGTACGTTTCGTATACGGATCAAAATTTTATAATACCTTTTCTCTCAACACCAAACCTCTAACACCAAAAAAAATCTTATATAACCATCTAACCTTTAATGAAATGGTAAATTACCGAAGTACCCTAAACTAATAATTAAAAGAAAAAATGAAAAAGAAAAAGAATGGATCAGAATCTTGGTTTCCTCTTCTTCCCCGCGACCATCACCATTGATTCGAATCTGAAGCACATTTGTTCAATTGAAGCCCAATCGGATCTTCTTCTTCTTCCCGTGGTCCGCGACATCACCATTGGTCCGACCATCACCATTGATCCGAATTTGAAGCACCTTTGTTCAATTGAAGCCCAATCCGCCATTGAAGCACCTTTGCTTCAATTGAGGTGCGTTCTACTAAGTTATAGCTTTAAATTCAGTAGCTCGGATAGTAATGCAAGTTGAGGAATCCGCAAGTTGGAAGATATCCAACTGGATTTGGGATTATCTCCATTATCTTTGGATCGTAGAGGATTAGTGAATCTCGGGCCAGAATTGAAAAATGTAGACTTAGAACAATTGGGTACAACTCGGTACTACTGCGTTTAGAAAACACTAGATAAAACTGGGTACTAGTGATAATAGGGAACACTGAGTACTACTGCATTTAGGAAACACTAGGTAGAACTGGGTACTACTGATAATAGAGAACACTGAGTACAACTGGGTACTCCTGATAATAGGAACACTGAGTACAACTGGGTACTACTGCGTTGATGAAACACTAGGTAAAAATGGGTACTACTGATAATAGGGAACACTGAGTACAACTGGGTACTACTGATAATAGGGAAAGAA